AATTAAAGTTAAATTAATAAATATAGCTTATTCTAACAAAAATTCCATTTTGTGAAGTACACTGGGAGGTAGACAGTTGATATTACTATTGTTATTGTTGTCTGAACCTGTGATTTCATTAATGTGGTGAATTCCTTGGTGTGGGAAATTCCCTGCAGTAATGAAAATTGGCACTCATCTGTAACATAACTTTAGAGATTTTTATAGGGGCACTAAATGGTTAAGTGATTTGTCTATGATCATATAGTTACTTGTTAGCCTATAAGATTACTTTCAGCTCTAGATCTACAAATTCTATGATTCCTAATGTTAAATGAACAGGTGTGTTGGAGTCAGCTCAAGCAGGCTCAAGAGTGCCTATCATTAATTTTCAGTGTGAGCTTTTATACCTCAGAAATTAGTAAACACCACATTTCAAATCAGGATTTCATTTATTATTTTGTTGATTGTCTAGACCTAAGAATATGAGAGAGGAAATACTAATAATGCAGATTAAATTTTAAAAGGTTACATGTAACTTCGTTCCCCCTCTCCTGTCAGCCAGTTGTTAAAATATTTACCAGTATACTCTTTTGTGACAAAGGCAGGATCAAACCCAGGTTTTCCTGTCTCCAAGGACAGCCAATTATCAACTACAATATGTTTCCTTTCAAGTATTATTAGTTTATAGTTATGTGAAGTAATTTGCTTCTAACTATAGCTAGTTATTAACTGGTAGAAAATTATTTTCTCCAGAGTGCTGAGTGGTCAGGTAGACCTGAGTTCAAATGTGACCTCAGAAACTTAGTAGCTGTTGAACAAATTACAACCTGTTTTCAGTTTTTCATCTGTAAAATGGGAATAATAGCACCTAAAACCTAGGGTTATTGTGAAGATAAAATGAGATAATATTTGTAAAGCATTTTGCAAACCTTAAAGTCCTTTATAAATGTTAGTTATCTTCATTATCATTATTTTTTATTATTGAAGATAGAATTAAAGATTACTCACAAAGAAATATTTTGAAACTCCTTTACAAACATCTACATAAAGCAGAAAATTGTTTCAATGTTGCTAATATAACCTGATTCTAAGTATGCAGTAGGCATCTATGGCACATGTAAATCAAAGTAAATGAATATTCTCTCTATGCTGCATATCTCAGAAATTTAACAGACTGGAAGAATAACAATAGGAAAAATTATACCTTGTACAGATTTTTCTTAATTAAAAAAATGACAGCAATTGTCATACCATAATTTATTCTATTTATACATATACTGGTCTTAATCATATATTACTGCAAATTCTGTTTTTCACTAAGATCCTTAGCACAGAACATTAACACAAATAAATATATTCTGCTCTACAACAATATTAAATACATCCCCAAGAACTAAAGACAACTTCAGTTAGCAGATACATTATCTGTCAATTAACATTTTATAGATCTTGGTAAGAAATGCAAAGGGAGAAATGGAAAACAATATGCTCCTACTAAACTAATTATCAAAAAGCTTTGCAGCAAACATTGTCTTTATATATATGATTAGGAATCTGAAATATGGAAAAGCTTTGGTTTAATTAAGGCTTTTGACATACCTGGATAAGTCTAAACAATCAGAAGCAGAAGTATATGGAAATTTATCTATTTCAATGAATGAAATTATAATTGTATTGGCCTGTAGATGTGCAGCTTTTTCCACATAATCACCCAAGACCTTTTTTAATTTTAATCAAATGTTCAGAGCTTGTTTTATTGTGTAGACAGCATGAACCTTCTTTTAAAAAATAAACTATAGTGATTATAAAAAAAAATGGCTTGAGTTCATAAATGTTTAAAAAACAAGAAAATAATAGAATTGGAAGTGATGGAAAGAACGAAATGTGACAAGGTCATTAGCAAAGAAATGAATTCTATTATCTGTCTCTAACATTAATGGCCATTGAACAAAAGGGTTGGGCACCATCATTTAAAAATGAATCCTTTGCCATTTGTGAGCTCCACTCTTTGCAGAGTCAGGTAGCAGGAAAAAGAGGTTGAGATTTTTAAGAAGTAGAGCAGACTATGATTGAAGGGAATCAATACAAGGAAAAGAACACTTCATTACACTGGTTCTAGTCCCATCTCTCTCATGAATTTACTGGGTGACTGGGGATAAATCACTTTAATTTCACTTAATTCTATAATTAAGGATGTTGGACTGGATGATCTGTGAGAGTACTTCTAGTTTTAATGTTTTCTAAGTATATGTGGTTATGAGGCTAAAATGAGTTCAATAAGATAGGAGCACTTTGAAAAAGTTGAAAACATATAACATACTAATATAAAGCTTGATTGGGTAATTGCTCCTGTGATTCTGCTGTGACTCTCAGTGAGGAAATTCCCTCTATATTATATATTGGAAACTGTTCTGTATACAATGAATACTTGTTTAATAATGGCATGATAGTACAAGGAAAGGTAACATAATTTACCTATCTATTAAACAATTATTTATTGTATCATTATGTTTAAGGCACTGTATGAAGGGGCTGTGATGAATAACATATAAATCCTTCCATCAAAGAGTTCATAATCTAGCAAAGGAACAAAGACATACATAAAAGAAACTTCAATACAAGGCAGTAAATGATGAAAGGCCTTAAATGGGATAGAATTGAAATGCTACAGAGTCCAGAAAAGGGAGAAATTAATTCTTGCTGAGGTGATCAAACATTGCATGGAGGAGATGGTATTTGAAAGATTCTTTGAAGAATCTAAAGGATTTAAAAATGTAAGGAATAGAAATATAAGACAGTGTGAACAAAAGTATAGATACAGCGAAGGGCAAGGCAAGCTTGAGGGATCGTAAATAGTCCAGTCTGGCTGACATATAGGGTATATGGTAGTAAGGGTCTCATGGAAGATAATTCTGAAAACGGTAAACTAGTGTCGGATTATGGGAAGCATTCAATGTCAGGCTGGGTGGCAGAGGTGCTCATATTTTATTAGTTATGTAGTGAGGAGTCATGAAAGGTTTTTACAGTGGGATGGGAGAACTGACAAAGTTGTCTTTTAAGAAAGTTAATCTGGTAATTGTATGCAACATGGATTAGAGTAAGGAGAGACTAGAAATAGAAGTAGGTGACCACCTTGGAGGAGTGAGGCTGTAGTATCATTGGCACTCCTGAAATGCCATGATTTTCCTACCAATGAACACAGGTCTCCTCTCACTGGGATCCTCTTCAACTTTTAAGTCATTCTGCTCCTTCAGCACTCAGCTCAAATGCCATCTTCTGTAAAGCAGGCCTTTTCTAGTCTTCCCAAGTGCCCACCCCCACAGCAGATGCTAGAACCTTTCCTTTGAAGGTTATTTTCTATCTACTCTGTCTGCATCTTATATGAATCTATGAATTTAGAATTACATTATCTCCCCCCATTATACTATGAGTTCCTTGAAGGCAAAGGCTGTTTCCAACTTTCTTTGTATCCCCAGTGATTAGCCTGTCATATATTAAGCGTTTAATAAATACTTCATTAATTCTGCTAATTTACTGGTCTCCAAATTTCAGGTCCCCAGCAGGGAGAAGATCACAATGCTTCCTTCCCTATTCTCTTCCCCTACTATGTGACTGCCTTCTGGGCAGTTAAAGAGAATTTAAATGAAATGAAAATATGCAGTTGTGGAGAGTGGGAAGGGAGATGGGTCCCAGAGGTTGACATGGACAGAAAGTTCATTCTCTTGCATTTTACAAAGTGTTTTATACTTAAATCCTATTCTTTTAGCATTAAAATTCATCAGCCATCCTCTTTAGTTCTCCTATAATTGAAATGGTCTTAGTTTCAGTCTTAATATTCAGTTCTACTGTCATGCAGTTGACTGGCCAAAGCTGTTGTTGGTAACCTTTGAGAACCTTCTCCCCTGGCCCTTCCTAGAGAACAGAGTCTTTTTTTTTTTTGGTCAGGCAATGGGGTTAAGTGACTTGCCCAGGGTCACACAGCTAGTAAGTGTTATGTGTCTGAGGCTGGATTTGAACTCATGTATTCCTGAATCCAGGGCCAGAGCTCTATCCACTGTGCCACCTAGCTGTCCCCTATAAAGAGTCTTAGACTCAGAAAACTTAACTTGATTATCTCAGCTTGTTTCACCTTGAATGAACTGGTGAGAAAAATTATTATTTTTCTTATTATATTGATTATAGTGGATTTCTGCTATTCAGGGCCAATCCCTTTTCTAAAGGCATTTAAACACTAAAGGTACTTCCATATTGGGGTCTTTGGTCATGGAAAGAACCACTGACCTCAATTTATTATCTGCTAGCCTAATTAATAAATTGATTATTATTTAGCCAGAAACTATGTCTCAGACTTTTCATTCATCACACTGGGCAAGGCCTTAGACTGCCTTTTCTTCTGCTCTGTCCTCCATTCCCAAATCCCCATATGACATCAAAGCAATTATAGCTTCCAACAACAAGCTTATCTTTTGATCCCATTATCTCCCTGATGGGAACACCAGGATAGCTACTCAGTGAACTGTTCACAGCCATCTCAAATGATAGCATAGACAAGGTCTTAGAATTCTTGTTCCCTTTCCTTTTTTTTTTCTTTTTCCTTTAATCATAGTTTCATTAGTGAAGAGAACTCCCCTCTGCCAAAGCAGATCAGCAATTGTTCTGTAATTTATAGTCTTAGAAAATTGCCTAGGGGCAACTGAGAGAGGGGCAGACTAGCTCCAGGACACATAGAGGCAGTATTTGCCAGAGGCTGCACTTGAACTCAGGTCATTGTGACTCTGGCTCCCTAAGCTCCACACATCTCACTACCTCTTGGCTCCCAGTTTCTATTCACAATTCTGCTTCTGCTTTGTGAAGACAGCTGTCAATGTTCCTTATTATCTTTTAATTTCCATAAAGGGGTAAGGTGGGGGTGGAGATATAAGGAAAAATCTAAGTGATGGAAATCACTGTCACATGGTGTAAGAAATCTACCAGCAGATGGCTGGTCTCAGGGGAGTGGGGAGAGGCCCTTTACTCACTGGGGTTGTTTGGCTGGGAGTCCATTGGAATCATCAGTTTGGCCCGAGTGGCTCTTCGGGCTGCAAGTGATCGCTCTAGTGTAGACATAGTGCTTCCAGCTTCTTCAGCATCAGGACCTGAAGAGAACCAATACATCTGCATGAACCATCTCACCAAGTGGCACAGCTCTTTACTTTGCCTGATCATTGTATCAAAATGTCAAGAATTCCTTTCCTTCCCCTGCCTGAGATCTCTGTGGTCTCTACCTTAGCCAATAAGAATTAGAGCATTGGTTGAGGCCCAGAAATTTTAAGCAACTTGCCTAATGTCACACAGATCATATCAGCAGCAGGACTCAAATCTAGGTCACCTATGGCAATAGAGGAAATTTCCACAGTGAGAGTTCTCCCTATTGATAAAATTAGAGGTCTAGACAAAACAAAATAAACTCAAGAACTGGAAGACATCTATCACGCATAATTCCCTTCTGTTCCATCCATTCTTCAAGTATTTGAAGATCTGTCATGAGCAACAGGGTTTAGACTGGCAATGTTTGGTTCCAGAGGTACCAAATGTAGCAAAAAGGCAAATGTAGGTTTGTAGGAAAAATTCATAAACAATCAGAAGTGTCCAAATCTGGCAAGGACTGCCTGAGAGGTGGGTTCCCCCTCATTAGAGCTCTTAAAGTAGAGGCTGAAAGACTACTTGTCAAGCATTCATTTATGTCAAGGAATTCCTTAATGAAAACCCCTTTCAGGCAGGAGGAGAACTAGAAGACTGATCATGTCCCTTCCCATTCTAAATTCTGACTCTGTGATACTAGAGATGGTGGCATGAACTTGGAGAGATTAAGTAATTTAAGTGATTTATCAGGTCATAGAGATAGTAAAATGTCAAGGCACAACTTGAACCCAGATATTCTAAATTTAACTCTGATATTTTTTCTACTACACCATACTTCATTCGAATACACCTTTTCAGACTTAAATATCAACACCCTCTGTTACTAATACAGCATTTTAAAATAGCCGGAATGTGTAAGTTTCCATTGCCTGCCTACACATATGAAACTAAACCTGTGTTTATGTTAAATCAAAACATCTGGCCAAATCAATTAGTTCAATAAAGTGTTGAATCCACAAATATAAATTAATTTGAAAACTGGTTATCCTCCATCATGTAATTAATGCTTGACTTAATTCAACTTTTTTTCCCTTCTTTTGTTCTTATGGAGGAGTAACAAATACCATCAATTGCTACATGTTTTTCTCAGCAATGTCAAGAAACCAAGTTCACTGATTTTTCCCACCAATGAATTAAACAATCAGCTATTTCTTTTGATGCATAAATACAGTCTGAGCCTTTCAGATGTTTAAATTTTAATATGATTTTTGTATTTACTAGTCACAATATGACTCAATTAATGTTTCTTCAGGCAATATGAAAGGAGCAGAATCTTTCAGTAAAATTGTCAACTATGACTCAGAAATCATACTATCAACCTTGCTTAGGTAAATATGAGTTTCTAACTGAAAGATCATAATGCAATTACTAGTTAAAACTCATATTTTCAGGATATAATTTCATTCATTCATTTTGTTTTCTTTCTCCTTCCAAAGTTCCCCCAGAATTAGAAATGTCTCTATCAAGTTGCTGTCAGTTGTTCACATGATGTATAATGCATTTATAAGGCGCCTGACCAGCATATGGCATGAAGTTCTTACTCTCCATTCCTTTTTGTGTTTTTTCTCTTTCTGTCTCTGTCTGTTCACATTCTCCTATGGTAAATTCATTAACTGCCATGGCTTCAACTACCACCTCTATGTAGATAGCTTTCAAATTTCTTTCTCTAGACCTCAAACTCAAAATGACTAAAAATCACATTTATTATCTTACCTTCTAAACCTGCTCCTCATTCTTATTACCTTTATCAAGCTTCAAGGGATGCCCCTGATTCTAATATTTTTGGATTTGATGAATAAGTTTATGTTCACAATATCTTATTATTTCTTGTACTTTAATTTTCTTTCCCCACTGATCATCCTTTCACATATTAAAGACTCATTCCGTAAGTTTGTCCTTCTAATGACAGTGACAAAAAAAACTGTATCTCCAACACCTTGACCATTTTCATAGCCATTCTTTTTATGTCTTTCTGGAATCATTTGTATAGAAACATCACAATTCATATTTTAAAAGAGCAATTTAAATACAGTAATAATTACTTTTTTTTTCTTGTAAGCCTCTCTTGCTGCTTATGTTTTTTTTTTTAATTTGGCAAATGTTTTTCTAGGGGTCATCTAAGTACATCCAAACCCTAAAGTGATCTGCTCTTTCTTTACCTTTTCTTTCTTTCAAATTCTTCTTCTTCTTCTTCTTTTTTTTTTTTTGGTAATAACACCATCTAAGTGCCTCTTCTAACAAATCAACTGCTTGATTATATTTGCTATTATTCCATTCAACTTTGTCATTTTAAGTAATCTATAGGCATATCTATACAAGGTCAAAATTGAGACATTTTAAAGTCTTGGTTAATTCAATCTTTTCTGGTTGAAAAGTTTAAAAAAGGCTAAACTGGATAGTAAGTCTCAATTTAACTCAACCAAGCTATTTAAAAACATTGAATTTTGCCTAAGTGGTTCTTCAGATGAGCACAGTTGAGTAGAAGTATGATGTAAGGGAATGACAAACAGGGCTTAGAAACCAAAGTTTTGACTTTGCTTTTTCCATCTTGTGTGACCTTAGACAAGTTGATACACCTCTTTTTCTCTTCCTCTCTACCTCTTTCTCTCTATCTCTCAATCTCACTTGATCTTTTGCTCTCCCTAAAAATAAATTTAATTTTGGAAACTTCATATTTTGTCAAATATTGAAGAGACACTTTTAAAATCTTTATGAAAATGAAGAAAATGGAGGTTTGCTCTACCAGTGTACAATGTGTATTTTTAAAATGATTAATGCCTTACTAGTCCCTTTCCATCCTGAATTTTGCCTGAAACAAACAAATAAAAAACAACAATAAAGTAGAGTTAACTGACACCCTATATACGAACACGTGTTACTCAGTTTCCCACTTTTCAATAAAGGGAGAGAGGATTATGTTTTCTCATTTCTTCCCTAGGATCAAAATATGTCATTACAATTAGAGACATGGCTTTGTTTTAATTGCTATTTTCATGTATATTACTACAGTCACTTCATATAATCTTTTGTAGGTTATACTTATTTCATTGTATATCAGTTTGTACTAATGTTACAACATTTACCTGAATTTCTCCTATTCATTGTTTCTAACAATGCAATAATATTCCATTAATAGTTCAAAATTTGTTTCCTTATTCCCAAAGTTATGAGCAATCATTTTGTTTTTTAGTTCTTTGCTAGGGTGAATATTTTGCTGTATTTTTTCCCCTTCCAACTTGAACTCTTTGGACTATGAGCCATTACTGGGACCAAAGGGTATCTACAATACAGTTATTTTTCTCATATAATTACAAACTATTCACCAGAATGATTAAACCAATTCATAGTTTAATTAACAATTTTTAAGTGCGCCTGTTCTCCCTTGAGCCTCATCAATACTGACTTTTCTGATTTGGTGGATCATCTTTTGCTACTTATTTATTAAAAGATGCCTCTTGGTATTGTATATTTGTTTTAATTTTCTATATATCTTGCATATCAGACATTTATTTATCTGACATATTTTTAACCCAAATAGCAGTTCTTCATCTTATCCTAGCTGCATTCATTTTGTTTCTCAATATGAGAAACCTGGACTTTAGTTTTCTTTTCTGAACCTTAGTTTTCTTGGTTGTAAAATGAGTCAATGATACTTGCTCTACCTACCTTTCAGGGTCATTGGGAGGAATACCTGAGATGGTCAATGTGAAAGTTCCTTTAAAACAAATTCAAATTTTAGAAATCATACAATCTGAGTCCCAGAAGAGTTAAGTGAGTTAGGGAGGCAACGTAGCCTTACGATCCTATAACTTGGGTTCAAATTCTGGCTCTGATATTTACTGTACATATGAAATTTGACATCACTTAACTTTCCTAGGTCTCAGTTTCTTCATCTGTAAAATGAAGAGTTTGGGCTTAATAATTGCTAAGGTTCTTTCCAGCCCTAAATTTATGATCCTATATTTCATGACTTGCCTTAGATCAGACAACTCAGAAGTGGCAGAATAGGTTTCTGTTTCTGGGTCAAATGGTCTTTTAACTGATGGGGAGTGGGTACTGAAGGAAAAGGACTTCAAAAAAGAACCTTAGGTTATGAAAATGGGAGACAGGTTGAATGGTGGTACCACTAAAAGAAACAGTGAAATCAGAAGAAGGGATGATTTTAGAGCATAAGATAAGCATGATTAGGCATGCATTGAATTTGAGATGTCAATGGAACTTTCAAAGGGATGTGTGTGTGTGTGTGTGTGTGTGTGTGTGTGTGTGTGTGTGTGTGTGTGAATTTGGAGCTCAGAGGGCAGATAAGGCTGTATACCATTTGAGGAACCCATGGGAGTTAATGAGGTGGTAGCAGGAAAGATTATGGAATGCTGGTTTATAATGGTCTTCGCTGTAACAGTATTTTTCTGCATTCTTTTAAGCATGAGGTCTCTGGGTATGCTTGTTATAATTAAAATATGCAAATGATTAAAATATTTGACATGCATAATACAATAGCAGCCACTCATCCCTTCATCTTACTCTGAGACAAACAGATGTGCTTTGCCTGATCTGTGGTAGGGTCAGGTGATCTTTTGATTCAGGACACTATGTTTTTGCCTTGTTAATCAAACATTAGCAACTATGGGAGGCAAAGCACCATCAGAATAAACACCTGTATCTAATTAGGGAGTTAGGGCATGTCCATACATACAAACGCAATGCACGCATACACACACGCACACATACACACACACCACAAACCCTACTGCTTTTTTCTTCAATGCTATCCATGTAGACACAGTCTATATATAAAATCATTTAGCAAGCATGTTGATAATGAGATTGCATGTGGGAGAAATATCATCTCCAGAGTAATCAAGGCTCAAATTGCATAGTACTCAGCATTTTCAGACCTCCAATTTCCCTTGAATGCTTTGAAATGAATGTACAAAAGTTTCGCATCCAAATCTCAATTATCCCCATAACTGGGGACAAAAATAGCATAGACAATTCATTTTTTACAGAGAATCCCCAAACTCATTTGAGTCAACAGTTATACTGCCAGATATACTTTTACCGAAGATGCTAAGAGTTATGATTTCTTGATCTCTATCCACCATGCCCAATATACTTGAAAGTATAAAAAAAATTGTCAGAAGACAGGCAATAGGAAAGAGAAGGGCAAATCTGAACAACGTAACAATTAGGTTGAACAACAATCCATTTTTGAGACATAGAGAAATGAATGCAAATTACTTAGAAAGTAATCTAAAGGGGATTGTTGTTAAACAGGTAGCGAAAATCCCCAGAGAATGAGAACTATAAGCTTTCAGTGAGCTCAGTGGCACGATCGCTTACCTGAATGGGACGTGCTCTTGCTTCCCAGCTGTGTTTCTGATTGGCTGTGGCTGACTGGCGTGATGTCCTGGCAACCCTGGATTGGTGAATCCCTTCCTGCCGGGTCTGAGCCAGACGGCTTTTCAATGTTCTTCATCTCCATTTCTTCATGATGAATCCAAAGATCAGGAGGCCGTAGGTCTTTTTGGCTTCCCTTCCTTTTACCAGCACTATGGGTGGCTCGTTTCCTAGGAAAGGAGTTGTCAAGTGAAGATCAAACCCAGTATTCTGCTGCTCCCAGAACAATTAATTCAAATCTTTCCATTAGCTGCCATCAAAGAAACAAAAGGACTCTCTGGGGCTGGCTTATGAGATCCAGGAATCAGTGAACTCGGATTTGGCTTTCTTTTCTCTTACCCCAATGTAGACAAACCATATTGTATAAGATGTCATATTAAACCTCCAGAGTCTCACCTTTTATGCAAAGGACTTCTCCTCCAGTATTACCTTCAGGCTCATCCATGAAGTGACAATAGGTTAGACATTCACATGCCAATCCTAGGAGCTCCAGCATAAAACAGCCACTGGCAAGTTCCTCTTAGAAGATAAATGGAGTAACAGCTTTGAAAGAATGATGGAAAGGAAAGGACAGGATTTGTGCCAAAGGCTGGAACTCAAACAAGAAGGGATCCTAGTGTTCCAGTTCCCCAACTGTATGTTCCATTTAAAAGCTTGCTCTCAGAAGGGGAAAAACAAACAAAAAGCACCTAGTATAGGGTTGTATGGAGAAAGTTTATACAGGAAATAGTTTATTTTAATTATTTTGGGCTATGATCATTTACATTTTAAAAGACCTTCTTAAATATGAGCAGCATTTTTTAAAAATGGAGAATATAAATCCTTATGTACAAAATCAAAGCAAAGTAGCAAAATTTGGGGAAGGGTATGATTGTCCTTGATACCTACATCCAAAAGTTAAGGACACACTCTAAATGCATCAAGATCCTCTTAACAACCCATTATAGCTACATCATTCATAAATCTATTTGTCTAAACCCTTCTTGAGCCTAAATACATTTGCAATTTTCATTTCCTCTTATGTAGAGTGAATTCCTAACATTCACCATATAGTATATAAATAAATGTGAACTTAAAATTAAAAATAATGTTAAAATTATTTTTGCATGTAATTGGGAAAAATAAAATGTTATTTGAAAAAAACTGTGTGTACTTTTTTGTTCTAAAATACCTTTCAATTTAAAAAAAGTGTTTACTTATTTGAGTATTTCAGAATCTTATAAACTACTCCATATCTTCCCTTTCTCTACTCATTCTGTTTTTACAAACTATTCTATCCCTATTTAGCATCTGCTTTATGCCCCTTTCCCAATCCCTCCAAGCTAGAATCATATGACTTTGCGTATTAATGAGACTATGGGGTGCCCTGGATAAAGGGTTAGACTTGGATTCAGAAAAGCTGTCAGTTCAAATCCCAGTTGTGTAACCAACTAGTACAAGTCACAAACCCGCTCTAAGCCTCTGTAAAATGATTCTGTGGCAGCTGGGTGGCAGAGTGGCCTGGAGTCAGACTCATCTTCCTGAGTTCATATCTAATTCTCAGACACTTACAAGCTGTATGACCCTGGGCAAGTCACTTAACCCTGTTTACCTCAGTTTCCTCATCTGTAAAATGAGCTGGAGAAGGAAAAGGCAAACCACTCCAGCATTTCTGCCAAGAAAACCCCAAACTGAGTCATGAAAAATTGAACACAACTGAAAAACAACTGAACAACAACAAAAATGATTCTGTAATAACACCTGTTATACTTACCTCATAAGACTATTATGAGAACCTAGTGAAATATCGTATACAAAGTTCTTTGTAAACCTTAAAACTCTATGTAGATATCAATTATTATAGATCACAAGTAGATTACCTCCATTCTTTAGCCATTTTAATAGTCGATCTCTAAGCATAGTTCTTTACATATAGTATATGTTTAATAAATATTTGTCCAAGTAATTTATTGGCTCATATCTAGCATATTCCTGACCTGGAGTCAGGAAGACCTGAGTTCAAATTCCGCCTCAGACACCATGTGATCCTGAGCAAGTCACTTAACTTTAGTTTGTCTCAGCTTCCTCAACTGTAAAATGAAGATAACTATGGCACCTACCTTATAAGGTTGTTGTGAGGATCAAATTTGATAACACTTGTAAAAATCACTTAGCCAGGCAAACAGTAAGAACTATATAAATGCTTATTCCCTACTCCCTCCTTCCCCTTCACCCTTTTTTCATGAAATTTAACAATAAACATTAGATAGGTGTACAGATACAGCTACACCATAGTTTTGTACAGTGAAGGGATAATATTTTCTGTTTTGTCCTCAATACCTTTGCTGATAATTATCTATAGCTTTTGATTTCTTGGCTGCAGGGCAACACCTTGTCAATATCTTTTGGAATTTCCATAATGACTACTGGATGCTTTTTCTAGAGCTACACATCTTTTCTCATAAAATTTGACAGTAAAGTTCATCTTCTAATTTTCTCTCTTCTTATATGTGGAACCTTCTTGAAGTTCCCGATTGTTAGCTTGGTATTTCGTTTTTAGAATTGCATCACCTAAAAACCTAAAGATTTTATTATTTTCTATCCCCTCCAAATTCTATAAGACCATACTAATTTATTAGCATAGCACTTAACCTCAGAGTCAGTATAACTCCCCTCAGTCTGGCTCCCATCTACCTTTCCTGCCTTATTTCATACTACTTCCTTTTGTATACTAGACCAATAGTACAGTTGACTTCTCTTAAGTCAATAGTTCATGTTGAACTCCAGACATTCACACAAAATATTCATCATTCCTATAGAGCACCCTTTCCTTGTTCTAGCCATTATAGAAAGATATATTGATCTATGCCCCCAAAGTTATTAATTGTGGATACCCTTTGACTCAATAACATTACTAATAGGTCTATATCCCAAAGAAATCAAAGAAAGGGGAAAAGGACTCATATGCATATAAATATTTACAACTTCTCTTTTGTGGCAGCCAATAACCCGATGTTAATGAGATTTCTATCAATTGGGGAGTGGCTGAACTGGTTATGGTATACAAACAAAATGGGATACAGAGAGTTTAACACAGTGTCTGGAACATAGTGAACACTTAATAAATGCTTGTTGACTGACTGTTGTGCCACAGGAAATAAAGAGATGGTTTCAGAGAATCCTGGGAAGACTTGCATGAAATGATGCAAAATGAGCAAAAGCAAGAGAACAATTTATACAATAAAAATATTGTAAAGATAAACAGTTTTCAAAGACTTAAGAATTCTGATCAATGCAATAACCAATCATGACTCCAAAGGACAGAGCATGCTACCCACCAACTGATAGTGAGGTAATGGACTCAGGTATGGGTGCAGAAAAAATTTAACAATGACCAATGTTGAACTTTGTTGGTAGAGAATAAGTAAAAGTTTTACAAGGATTTTCTCCTTTTTTCATTTTGTTTTAATTGGGGAGGGGAGGTGTTAGGGCTTGTTAATTGAAAAAGTAAAAAAAAAAAAGAATTGGATTATATTTTATTTTTGAAACTATAATGTAAGTAAGGATTCTTATCTTCTTTTGAAGCTTCTCTGAGGAACCTTCCTTGCTTCTCCCAAATGTTAGTCTTTAAATCCTCCTCATTTATCTTTTTGTTATATTTATTTGTGTACATGTTGTATCCCTACTTAACTCAATCCATACTCCTCTGTAGAAAATATGCCTGGCATACTACCTTACATAGAGTAGGTCCTTAACTGTGCAATGAACTGTAGTGACAGCTCCTTATCAGAAGCAATAAGCAGTATTTTATATAGACAATTTTCCTCAAAAGTAATTAGCATTTCTATTTGAATTTTCAGAAAAAGACCTTATTTAGTATGATTGCAATATTATAATCTCACTAATTCAAATAATTTGGTGGATATCTATACAAATTAGCAAAATGATAGAATTATAGAATACTTTTAAAGAAACACATTTTATTTACTTTCAAGTGTATTTTGTTGTTAAGTATTTTTTCAGTTGTGTCCAACTCTTCATGATCCGATTTGGGGTTTTCTTGCAAAAGGTATTAGAGTGGTTTGCCATTTCCTTCTCCAGCTCATTTTACTATGGATGAGGAAACTGAGACAAGCAGGGTTAAGTGACTTGCCCAGGGTCACACTGCTAGTAAGTGTGTGAGGCTTCATTTGAAGTCACAAAAATGGGTCTTCCTGACTCCAGGTGTGGCCCTGTATACATTGTGCCACCTAACATCCTTTCAAAAGCATACAGCATAGTAAATACAAATTAGCTAAATTTTTTCTCAGTGAAGCTCCTTTGGAATCTTTCTAGTCTTAGAATTATATTGTTAGAGTTGAGGGGACTTAGAGATCATCTAATCTGACCAAATTTATATTTTTACAAATGAGGAAACTGAGGCGAGGAGAAGTTAAAAACTTAGCCAAAGATACACATCTACTTTTTTTTTCTTAATTGTGTAACTTTGGGTCAATCACTTCACCTCTGTATCTCCCAGCTTCCTCATCTCTAAAATGAGAGTGTCAGACTAAAATGATATAAATCTAAGGTCTTTTACAACTCTGACATTCTACTCCTACAATTCTAAGTGTAAAATGCATCATGAAGTTCATAACCTAAATATGCAGAGACTAATAAGAGTAGTAGGAAATATTTCCATTCTCTCCAATCCTTATTTAACTCAAGAGCCCTGAGCAAAACAAAATTTCAAACCCACCAGCATTTTTAAACAAACAGATCATGCAAACCTCCAAGTGTTGTTGTGAGGATCAAATGAGATAATAGGGGGAAGCTTTTTGAAGGAGCCAGAGGATATTTTCCAATTGTTCCCATTCATATACAGAGTTCATGCTTCCACAGGCATGCTGTCTGTTTCAGAACTGAACTAATTTTGTTTTCATCTGAATTATTCAGATTGTTCCAAAAGGTTTTGTTGAGTGAAAAAAAATTGAAAAAAATCCCCCTTCTTCCTCTCATGCTTCTCCCAGCACATCTCTCTTTCTCATGTCTTTATTTTTTTTAAAAATCATCCTATCACAGTCAACTCACACCCCTGCCCTCTGTCTGTATTTTCCTTCTAATTGCCCTAATATAGATAAAGTTCTTAGGAGTTACAATTATCATCTTCCCATGTAGGAATGTAAACATATTAAACTTATTAATTTCCTTA